TTAACTGCGGCTTTCAAAGAATCAAGCGAGAATAAAGCTGCGATGGCAACGAATGAACAAATCGTAGTGGGAACGATTATTTTACTGGTGGAGTTGGCCCTGTAACTTTAAAGCATGAGGAACACTGAGTACCTAGGATTAACAGACATACAAGATATACAGTATCATTAAAAAAGAGCTTATTTAAATACCATACAGCCCTGTGTTTTATCTCTTAACTGTAAACACAGATCTAACATAGCGTGTGGGAGAAAGTGGAAATTATTACTGTGGACAACTAATTACCACCGTGGTGAACATGTATCCAGTTGTTCAAGACTAAAGTAAAGAAAAGGCAGAAAAGATGGCGCAGTTTGTAACCACGCATAACTCTTTATGCTGCTCAAGAGTTTTTTCAGAATGGTAAAGAGAGGGGCTATGGCATTACAAAGGACCTGGCTGCTTTTGTTAGAGGATAAATGAAAATTTTAATAACACTAAATTTAGAAAAAACTATATTCTACTAGGGTATTTATTTGTGAAGGATGTTTCCAGTCCTAAACTATTCAAGTTTTTTGAAGAAGAATTTTGCACTTGTCGTTGGAAAGCCCAAGAAGTCAAAAAAATATATCGGCAAGCTGAGACTATTACTTGCCTGGAACAAGGAATGCTAATAAGGATGAGGTCGTAAAATGGACGCTAAAAAGCTTCCTCAGTTTGTAAGTTATGTATATGACAGACGAACCTCAGCTCGTGCGGGGAAAGTTCGATTTTTTATTTTTTCACATCGAACGTCAAGATCTTTTAAAAAAAAAGACAAAATCTTTCCGTATTCACTTTCCGCGAAAGGTAGATTTACTCGGGAATTTGCCTTGGGTTCTCATACTAGCAAGTGCCAACGGTAACCCACTGCACAAGACGGTCAGTAACTTCTTCGTTTGAAAAAAGCTGTTCACGAGTTTGACACCTTTGCATGTCCAATACCAATTTACCAACAAAACAACTACTGATTTCTTCATGATTTATAAAGAGTGTGATTGTTTCTTGCTTTGTATAAGTTTGGAAAAATTAGGTAAAGAGCTTCCAAAAGCGGCAAAAATCAGTACCTGAAAAAATACCGTAATCTAATTGGCCGTAGCAAAAAAAAAATCAGCAGACAAAATGCACTTCTCATTTTATTATCA